TATGCACATTTAAACATAATATTATGCATAAAAATTACGTAATTTGTTATTTCAAAGTATGCAATATTAAACATCATAACACATAAAAGCAAAAACATACAATATGTTTAATATATATCAGATATTTAATTTATAATTTATATTCATAAAATTTAAAATATTTTAATTAAAATTTTCAGGATTAAACCTCAAATCATTAACATAAATGAGTACAACAAAATTTAAGTCAACACACAAGACACAAATTATAACGTGGTTCCCCTTTGGAGTGTTACATTTGCTTGAAAAGCGCACAGGAGTGAGTTTACTATAGTATGTGAAAAAGCATGTGATAGTGGATTACCATTGGTTATTAGTTTAGTTTACTATAGTATTAATTTTGATTGGTTTTAAGTAGTTGATCATGTTACCTAAGATTTGAAAGTCATAGCAATATAAGAGGGATAACAGAAGATCATTGGGACACAATCAGATTATTGAATGGAGCAATTATGTTTTCCCGTATATATAACCTTGCTGAGTTTAACCTGTTCTTTCTGGTTGTACTTTTGTTAGTGTATGTGTTTGAGTGAAACATGATGTTTTTTATTCACATCAACGTTTTAAGTATTCATCGAATCATTGTCGTAAGCAACTCAGAAATTTATTTTCAATAGACTACATACTCATAGAATGTAATATATGTATAAATATAACATTATGCTTTTCATAAATTTTAATTCTGTCAATGATTTTATAAAGATGTAGACTTAACTCATGCACTAAAAATTCTAACACTCCATATCTATGCATTATTGTGGATCTATAATGTTGTAAGATGAAATCCTCATATGCAAGTTAACTTGATTTTATATTTGAGTTCAATGATGGATGAGTATTTATGAAACGAAATTGAATTTCAAAAAGATGACATCTATATATGGTAGAAAGAAAATGATTGTCAGAGACTATTAATTGTACGTGTTATTATCTTATTTTATATTATCGGTGAAGTAATATGCATAAAGTACAAAATAATGTTTCTCATCACCATGCGATAGTTTCCGCATAAGAAAGGTAATCGAAATGTGGAGGAAAAGCTAGGATGAGTAGAAGACGTACTCTCGAATAGAGTTGCTCAAGATTGGATGGCATAAAAAATCCTTTCAGGCAGGTTTTTGGAGCTAATTGCGAACTTAGTGAAGAAAGAAATCATGAATTGTGATGTAGACAACCTTCCTTACTGTTCAAAATCTTGGGTTATCTTTGGGCATCAATGATATGGACACACAGAACATGCGTGAAATATTTACGTCTCGTATAGGATACTTTGAAGGGCTGATTGTCACCTTCAATAATGATATATGAGATGGGGTTCTGTTTTACACTTACATGGTGTAAGTGGATATGTTTTAGCTAGATTGAAGAAACCAATCTTCCTAAAGCTTATTCATGTTTGATGAGAGATTGAGTGCACTTTATCTTGAAGATTATCATAAGAATTGCATTTGATGAATAACCTTTTCGCGTGTACACTCTGCATCCATTATTATAATACTCAAATCGCTCAAAATGTCAATTTTGCAAAGACTGCATGTTTTCTGACGGGCGATATATCATGAAATGACGTAAGAATTGAAAACATTCTCATCGGGTTCGACCTCCTCCTATCACCTGGGAGCATGTGGATTTGTAGGTATGTGGGTGGGTAAAATGGATTCGTGGACTCGTGGTCTAACAGTGAGCAGTAAACCCTTGCCAACCACGTAAATGTCTCAATGAGAAGAGCATGACGGATTACAGGGTCCTCTAGCGTGAACTGATTTATACTGATTGGGGATACGAGCGAGTTATTTTACGGATTTGGGGGTAGGAGTGAGAAAAAACTCAGTATTACGTTACGAATCTTACTAATTAGGTGTTGATATTTGGTGCAGTTCTAGGACCTCAAGGAAGTGTGGATGGTCAGAAAACATTCTAGCGTGCAAAGCACCTGGAGATAGAACAGAATCTTTGCAGATGAGTCAGGCAGTCAGTCAGTCAGTCAGTCAGCAAGCAGATTGAGCACAGGTAACAGGTACCGAGTACACATACGCCTAACGTGATTCGGCAACTGTGGTTGTCTTATCCCGTGCACCAGTGCAAGCGGACCTTCAAACCGGCATTTGGGTGAAATCTCCTGATCCTGGAGAGCAAGTACGTGGCAGGCTTCAGAGGGAACACAAGCAGCAATCTCACTTTCAGAAGGTGATTATTAAGCATGGACAATTTCCCGAGCACAACTCAACTTGACCCGCGGTACATCCCCGTACTCTCGATTGCAGCGTTTTCTACGTTATTTATGCTTAAAAAGCCATATGTACCCACCGACTCATAATATGTCTTGTCGTCAATACTTAACTAATTTATGAGGGTCAGGATAGAATCAAAAGCGAGAAGGAAAGAAGTCTTCCCTCTTCCTGTTTGGACTATGTTGCAAATAATTGTCATATTCGAGCACAAGGGTTTCTCCCGAGTCGAGGATGGCCAACCCAAAGTTACTCTCTCTCTCTCTCTCTCTCTCACTGGAAACGCATGCAGGAAGGAGGATGTATAGTCGAAGGTGAGGAAGTACGTCACACTACACGCGATGAAAGAAAGTGTCAATACGACTTTTCAAACATTAAATGCAGCTGCAATTTCATAATATTCATGTCTTGCAGCAAAAGAAATGCAACAGCAAAATTTCATAAGAAAGTATGTTCTATTGAACAATTTGTCCACTTGACAACATGTTTTGCAGCGCCTGCAGCCAAATTAGAACTTACTCACCCACTGTCGTGACTTGCTGTCATTCGATGTCAGCACAGAAGGTCTCGGATTGTCAAACTGTCAAGTGGGTGCCAGTGTCGAGACGAACACCTACTTCCACTGTAGGCGTATTTTGGTGTGCTCCTACTACGCATCTCCTCCTCCTCCTCCGGGGCCTTGGCTGATGTTGGCCGGGGCCTGTGCTGCTGCCTCCTGCTCTGCTCTTGCCGCATCTCCACATTCTTCCAACCTTGTGTCAGCCGGCTGTGTCTGACGGCTTTGCCGATCAGTTTTCAGTTGATCGGCTGATCAGTCAAATGGAAGACGCCGGAGCATTTGAGCAATTTGTAGAGTTGGCACAGGGCTTGCTCATGTAGCCAGATTAACGATGCGTCGAGTTCGTTTTATATGATTACAATATCATTCGATTCCTCTGTCCATGTGGCGATTCCTGAACCCGAAACCCTAAATTGCTGAGCTCAGACTGCGAGGCACTTTTCGTGGGTTGTGGGTGGGTCGGTGACTGGGATCGGGGTGGGTCGGTTGGATTCTAACAACTGTACGATGCAGCCGTATTCTCAGCTGGGCTTGCATCCGAGAGCTTGAGTCAAATGTGAAAGATGTCGTCAGCTGCTTTGACAAAGCACTCGATTGCCAAAGTCGCATCACAATCCTACAGAAATTCAGGAGTGTCGAATCTGGGAAGGGTGCAACATGTGATGACCTAGCAGTGATCACATTTTCTTGCGCCAACAGGGGGAATCAGCTCAGGCATTGTATTGTGTCCATGAAAAGCAGATCAGACGCACTCCTGGACATGAGCTGAAGTCGCTCGGGACTCTTCTGTGCTCGTCATCTTGCCTCCCGTCTTTCTCTGAAATTCTTTGTCCCATTCGGTTCCCCTCTCATGCCATGGGGGACATATCTTAACTGGATAGGGCCCTCCGTCAACAACAGCGTTCAATTCATCAAAGTGTCGCTGTCCAGACCTTCTGCCAATCTTCGGCAGTATTCTTCAGATTTTCCGATGCCCATGATCTTTATCGTCTTACGTGGAGAATGAACTCACCTACTTGTGTAGTGTTGACGACGTGTTTCTAAGTGGGGACATGAGATGCCCTTTCTAGTTGCTAACGTGAGGGCTTTCCCTTTGATCTTCACTATGCTTTATGCGGATTTCTTTCTGCATGAGCATTTCGATGATTGAGAGATATTCTTTTGAATCCAACACCAACAATCCACAAACGAGACGAAATCGCGATAAGTGTTGGGAGGAATTGCGCATCATCTGACTTCAGTTATCTACATGAGTCAATCCAGTCGGTTAATCTATAGAGATGACATGCTTTGGTCGGTTTGTCCCGCTCGCCCACACACACACCTTGTATCTTGATGAAATAAGCTTCCATTTTTCTTGTGTAGACGACTTGACTTAATGCTTTTCCATTAATGTGCGCTGATTGATCACGACGAAAATGTGTCTAACTGAATCGAGTATCATACTTAATGCTAGCGGATTCAGCGGATTAGCGGATTTCCATCTCAAAGTGCTTAGTGACATGACACCACCATCTTATGACGATGGTGGATCATATGTGCTCAAAGTAGAAGAAAGGGAGACGATTGGGATTAAAGGTACCATGTCTTAACCATCCAGACAGAAAACGAGGCCAAGAAAGGTCCTGCCCGCAGGCACAAGTGAAGGTACTAGTCCTCATCCTGATAGAACTGAGTTTAGATCGGAAGCCTGATGTCATGTTTAATTTTCACACCGTAGAAAGAGAGATGTGCCAAATCTTATACAGTGCTCTTATCCAAATTATAAGATTCTTGAGCGGATCAGCCAAAGCAAGGAATTCTTCTGCATAACTTCATTCATATCTGAAGCTAGATTCTCCATTCTTGCTTCCTTTGTGTCTTGTTCGAAGAAGCCAAACCTTTCCCATTCTCTAACAATATGTTGTCACTTCATTGTCTCGTTGTGGTCAGTACGAGGCGATCGTGATAATTCTGGACGATATTCTAACGAAACATCCAACATCTGAAGAATCTTCCTATGATGGCAAAAGTTCCAGACTGCAATTGTTCATGGTCAACAAGATGTCAGTCTCGCAATGAGTAAGCTTATATCCAGAGTAATCCAGAACGTGAGTCATAAGTACTGGCACTCTGAAACTCACAGTACATGAAGTTTCAAAAGCGCTTGGTGCCATTTCATGTGTCTCTGTTAAGCTGTGTCTTGTACTCTGGTTACAAGTGCACTGAGCCCGAGTTAACTCGAATTTCCTAATGTTCACAACAGACGGCCTGAGTCTTGATGTGAAAACAATGGAAAAGTACGCTGACTGCGTTACTGTTGTGATAAGAAAGCTCCCATTCCTTGTGTGTTGTTTCAGTTTCCCATCTGATGTTGAAAGGTGATAACAGGGCCATCAAGACTTGGACACGATACGAAGTGGTCGCTTGGGATAAGGCAATCCACCTTGCAAATACTGGTGTAGGTAGATCCTACGTGACAGACCCAATACGAACCTGATTGCATGGGGTACTGCATTGTCAATCCTGTCTACATTTTCATTGGGAGTCTCTACTCAAGAGAAACTTTTTTGGACTGTGAGCGTAAATATTCAGAGATTTTTTCTCATTCCAACTTTGGCTCTCTTTCTTAAGTTTATAGAAGATTCCCACTTTGTCACAGACCGTGCGGATAAGGAGTAGGAATTTCGGAGAAAACACCCATCGCCTCGAAGTTTTGGCCTGATGGTGCAAGAATGACAAGCCTCACCCGGTCTCCAGTGCTCAAGCTGATAATCCTTCCAGTCTAGTCATCTAGAACGTAAAATCCAAGACGAAGCATTGTTCCTCAAGCCATACGGCTCATTCGTTTGAAGTGATCCTGAATCTAGAGATCTAGGGTGCCTTGCAAGAAAAGCGAGAGTAAACCCTAGACAATCTCCGTTCAGTACTATTAATCTTAATCGAGCTGACACTGTTAGCAGAGAACAGCTTGCTAGGATGTACGAATTCCTTGCAGCACTACGTTCCATCTCCCTTCTTCAGAGGATATGTACTCCTGAAATTCTTTCTCGAAAAAATCAATCCTGTTATTTCATTGCAATGTATATTCGTGCTGAGGCGGCATGAGGGGTGTAACAACAGATTAGTCCACGAGAAATGAACATAATCCACAAGTAGCTTGCGCGGTGACGATGTGAGTGCGTTTCGGCAAAGAACAGTGTCTACTCATGTATCCAGGAAGGAGCTGAAATCGCCTCCCATCCTCGTCCAAGAAACTCAGCACTTCTACGTACTTGCCCTTGCTTGCGACATAAACACGAAACGGCACGGACATCACCTGTCACAAATCTCAGACTTCTAATATATCAACGAAGCAGAAAGACTGATTTCTCGATCTCCGCATCACTACTTCCAAGTTGGACAAAAAGCACGAGAAACTGTTACTTAGCGTGAGAAGAGTGTTCTGTAGCCACGGCTTCTGCTAATTGCATGGCCAGCCACCGACTTTCTTCTCCCGCTGCTAGCAACTTGCAACAAACCAAGCCCCGAGCCTTTGAACTTTGCATTAAGATGACGTACTTCATATGTATACATGTTCCTAAATATTTTCGACGGACGTGAAATTCACGCGTAGGAAGGGCCAGTCTGTATATGTGCTCTAGGTTCAGATCATACACTTGGGCCGACTAAGTTCTACGAGACGTGTCAATCTGGCCTCCTACAATGCAGAATTTCAGCAGAGTTTACTAACAAAAATGATGTTTCTGATGTCTACTGGACGAACCTCTTCCAGAAAGCGTGTCTTGAGCGAGTGATAATCTCCTCATCGGCGCCCTAGCTCTGAAAATTATCAGATCAAGACCACCTGCACGGCATCGACGAGTGACCGAGTTCAAGAGACGCGACATGTTTGCTTCCATGAATTCAACCCGGCACAATCTGCACATGGTGTACGTGAGGTAGTCTTCCCGGGACTTTGGATTTAAGGCTTAAATTCCGTTGTAAGAATGGTCGTCTTCATTGCTGAACTCAATACAGACCTCGTCGTTAGATCGAAGGCAGCTGAGAGGCGACAGAAACATGTTCTTGATTTTCACGACGCAGCCTCGTCCCCGCCGACACTGCTACTGCTCTCCGTTTTCTCAGATGTCTTACGTTCCTTTCCGCCGGCCTTGCCAAAGGCAGGTTTCTTCCAGTGCTCAAGCTTGCTGTCAAATATGTCACAACGACGTATTGAGATCCCCAGCTGCTTCTCGAACTTCTCTATAACGAACTCCTCTGATCCTTCACAAATATTGATAACAGTTCCTCTCCGTCCGAGTCGACCGGTGCGACCACCACGGTGGGCATAATGCGACCCATCAGTTGGAAGTTCCAGGTTCACGACCAAATCGCAACCAGGAATATCCAGGCCTCTTGCACCAACCTCACTCACTACCAGAACCCGCAACTTGCCATTTCTGTCATCAGTTCATGTCCAAGTGGACGACATAAGAGTTAGCCACATAAGCATGGCGAGATCTTTAAAATAGCTTGAATCGGAAGAAAAGGCTTGAGATACTTGAAGAGTGGAGTTCTTCAAACGAGAAAAAATGTACTTCAACCGGATACTTTTGATACGCCCCCACGCAGAATTTAGATTCGATACAAGCACTTGACTCTAAGTATTGAAGATTACAGAAAACGGTGGCAGCGTTACCTGAAAGCATTTAAAATATTTTGCCTCTCCAATTTACCCAGTTCTCCGTGGAGAGAACCAGCAGCAATACCCCTCGCAACGAGCTTATACTCGGTGTCCTTGAGCCGCTTACTGTGGTTCATAAAAACAATAACAGATTGTGAATCGAGGGCATGGATGCACTTTCTCAGAAAGTCCACTCGGTGGTGCAAAGGTGATAGAAGATAAAAGTGCTCCAAATTTGGAGGCAAACTCTCTCGAGCCCCTTTCAGGTCAGCTGATTGGGCTTCATCCTGCACACACATACCCAACAGTGAGATACAAAGACGGTGATAATTCTAGACGGACAAGCCAGTTGTGTGCGAATCTCCCACAAACACTGGCAACGATAACCATGTCAAGGAAGAGAGACATTTAAGTTCATCAATTAAGACATTTACTTCTTCGTAAAAGTCCATAGTGCTCCCACATCCCCTACAGCAGGACTATTGTGCAATTTTGCTTAGCAGGTGGGCGGAACTGAGAGAGCAAAAATCAAAAGTATATAAACATCACTAACAATGCCATGATGAGATTGAAGACAATTAAAAATGTCCTGCTCGTAAACCCTGCTGATTGGATTGGCAGGGTATAAGAGTCCACGGCGAGTCAGTTCTAGGTCTGAGACCTTACCTTGTCAACAGGTGATCCCCAGGCAGGCGAAAAAGCCCCTGGAGTTTCAACATCAATTATAGACGTCGCTCGTACCAACAAGGGCTTATGACCCCAAGACGATGCTGCTCTCAAAACAGCCGGAGGCATTGTGGCCGAGACAAGAATGGTCTGTCTTTCGACCTTCTTCTTGACCGTCTTCACAGACGGATTTTCCTCTGCACTTTCAGCCGGATTTGAGTGTGTAGCCTTCGCAGGGTCGGATGATCTGCGCTGACCTACATGCTCCAGAATTCTCCTCATATCGTCCCTGAACTTGGAAGATAGCAGCTGATCGGCTTCGTCTAGTACCAAAAATTGGCAGGAATGAGTGTGAAGCTTCCCAGCTCTGCTCAACTCAGAAATTCTTCCAGGAGTTCCCACCACAATCAAAGGCTTATTCTTCTTCAATGCTTCTTCCTGCCGGTTCGGGTTGGCTCCCCCTATAAGCTGTTGAATGACTTTCTTATTGAATGGACCCAGCATTTTCTCGGCTTCCCTCACAATCTGCATAGCGAGCTCTCTCGAGGGAACGACGATCAGAACCTCCACTCCTCCGCGGTTGACCGCTTCCACCCCTGCAGAACTGTCACTCAAAGGTCCAACTTTCGACAGGATGGGGAGCAAGTAGGCGAGAGTCTTGCCGGAACCCGTGAAGGACTGAATTGCTGCGTCATGGCCGTCCAAAATGGTGGGAATCGCTGCCACTTGCACATCAGTGGGAACCTCCAATCCCTCGTCCGCAATCCGCCGCTGTAAAAGTCTCGACAGCTTCAAAGCACTGAAAGACTTCTCGGCGAAGGGGAAGGAACGAGTGTCGACCGACTCCACTTTGCTGGTTCTGGCGAACGCCGCTTTGGGTTCCCTCCGCTGCACCCTCTTTGCAGCTGCAGCTTCATCCTCGAACAAGGTGTCCAGCGACAGCGAAGCGCTCGTGCTGCTGCTGGTAGCTGAAATTCCTGGCGCTCCCGCCGCAGACTTCAACAGAGGGGCGAAGACGGGCGATTTCGAGCACAAGGACCGGCCCGAGAGCAAGGGCAACTGACCGAAAATACACAGCGGTAACCCCTTGACGGAGCGCGACACGAGAAGAGCCATCGTCTGCTTCCTTGTCCGCCACCGAATCTGAATTTTGGAAGCGAAATTCCGAATTCCGCCGGCTTATCAACTTCCTACTCCTACTCTGTCTACACCCAGCAGCAGATGCAACATCGTTTTCAGAACAGACGAGACGAGGAGGGCTAAAATTTTCACTCCCAGATTCTTCGGCCAATTGATTTTCCCTAGTCACACGAAATTTCAGTCTAACTCGAGAAACTCCTTCCCATAGTAAACCCAAGAAGCTCGGGAGGATCACTTATCGTCTGTCCTTGCAAATGCTCGTGAGACCAACGAGGTCACGGATTCCGAAACCATGGATTAGAAGCTTCGCGTTTGCTGACAGCTACACAAAGCGGGGCGTGGACAGACGGAGAAATTCTTCGGAAGGCGACGATCGAGCAAATGCGCCATATCTTCAGAATCAATCGATTACTCGCTCGCTGGAGGCTCGAGCACTCTTGAGTCCTGTGGAAGAGACGGAACTAATCCTTGACCGGATACTCCGGTTGCCTCCCTCGCTGATTTTCGTCGCAGATATCATGCGTACATATACTTGGTTCCGCAGCATATATTGTGGTTATCAAAAAGACATTATCCTCTTTCCGTTTTATCCAACCTCGCACGTAGAGTTTTACGCTGCAGCAAGTGGCTCTTGCAGGGAACTTGGAGATTGTGATGGTGAATACAGTACCAACACTTTACGGGAAACAATAGGATGATGCGTGTTACTATACCTGTGATTATCCATGGGTTCGAGTGTATTGGTATGTCAAAGTATTTCCAGTGTTTTAGAATATAGAGAAATTATACATTCGATTTCTAATTTTTTACTTGTATGAGAATTTAATTCAATATATTATTTAGTATGAACGGAAGGAATCATTTGAATAATATTTTAATGTTTATGCTTTTATTAATGAATTTTTTTAATTTATAACTTACACTTTTTTCCATATCAGAGGATTTTTTAGTAGATGAAATTTGTTATACTTCTATTGCGATGATATAAAAAATTAGTGTTCACATTACAAAACACAACCATCAATAGAGACTTTTTATCTAATTATAAACTCCATCTTTCATAACTTTTTTCTTAACACCTTGTTCTACATCAAATGAACAATGGCAACTTGTGATAGTTTCAAATTAATATTATGTATAGAATCACATAAATGCTGGTACACTATACTTGTAACTATAAGTAACAGGTGAAATGTGATATAATCTATGATCGTTGTGTTTAAGTCAGATTATTCACTATTTCACTTTAACAATAATAAACTTCATCATACTTGTAAATATGAGTATGTAATAGTCTAGCAGCAAAAACCATTTCAAGATGTTATTTCAAGATTGTCAAATCTTATTGATCTTTTCAAATTTCAATACCAAATTTTTTTATTTGTAACATGTGTACAACTATTTTTAAACTCTAATTGCATCTAAATATACAGACTTTTAGGGTTTTTTTATTCTACTTTAGTAAGAAAATTATTTTAATGTAAATATTCAAGCATCTTTCTTTGTAATGATTTGTATTATTAAAATTTTATAAAATATTAACACATAATTATATATTTTTAGATTCTACTATATAAATATTTTATTATTTTAATAAAATAAAAAATCCAAATTATATATACATATTTATTGATTTAAAACTTCTCACATATAAATACTTCAAATATTATATTTTTATGTTATAGTCAAAATAAAAAATAATATATATATATATTATAATTTATGTTGACAATGAATAAATGAAATTATATTAAATACAATGACGCTAGATAAGTCAACAATTGATGATGCAATATTGATTGATAAATTATTAAAAATTGAAATAAATTCAAATTGACAAATGACATTGTTAAACTATACTAGAATGGATGAGTCAAATATCAATAAAAAAAATAGTGGCTAGTTTCAACTCAATCTATGCTAATCATCACCTCAAATAAACTATACAAAAATATGTGAGGTTTTGATTGGAATCTCATAAATATTATTCATACTTGGAGTTGAAACTTGAGAGATTTGTTGGAAGATACATTTCAAGATTTACATTATAACATTAATTTAGAAACAAGTTCAGTTGAAAATGTAAATATAAACTCTGAAGATAAAAAATTCCAACAATGTTTCTACTCTTCTTTATATAACTCTTACCAACAAGTACAAGGATATAAAATCGTATACTCATCATCCATAACACTCATAATGGATAGTTGACATGACGGATACTCATAACAAGCATATTGATTGTTGACGTGGCGCTCCCAACTAACACACTAACTAGCACACTCAATCATTATATAATAAGCACACCTATTGCTGACGTCACAACTATTACTAGTGCGTGCTAAAGTAACAATATAAACATTTTGAATGACCTCTACTTTAGTTCTAAATAACTAAAGATGGTTACAAGCATTAAGCAACGCCATGATTAAATCAACATATCCGAGTTTGTATCAATGTAGAACTAATGAATCTTCATTTTTTTGATGCATTTTTTTAACTACATAATGGCTAAATGGCTCTAACTTATTGAAAATGATTAGGGCTATATTAAATATTTTATACACTTACTAGCAATATAGATTGAATTTAGTTGCATCTAATAATGAACATACATTGACAGGTTAAAATGTTAGCTTTGTAACGTTGTTCGGAAAAATATTTTAGAATCAAGTATAACTCTTGTTTCGCATCAATTGAACCTCTCTGTGAAGATTATTATCAATACGTTAAAAATACAAATTTTACAATATTATTCAAGATTTCTCTATGCATTTGCAAATGCAGCAAAATTTCATCATTGAAATAGAATTGAAATGTACAACAAATAAAAATTGATGTATTATGTTTGAAAGTTTGATGAAATGAATTGTCTAGAAATGCTATCACATTTTATCAAAATGTTGAGAATGAATAGTTATGTTCAGTTGTACATCAACATCTGATGCATTATTACTACCTCGTTACTTTCAATGTTTGAACAACTAAATTTTTTTTTTGAGTCAAACTATCTTTAGTTAGTTATAACATAGAGAAAGTTATACACTAAAATGTAAAATCTAAAGTTGACATGTTAACAATCCGTGTGTTTGATATGTAAAAAAAAATATTTTTTAACAAGCACAAATTTATTCTTTCACAAGCACACGTAAGCAATTCGTGTGTTTGTTAACCAAGGATTTAATGTTAACTCCTAATGTGTTTGTTAGAAACGACAAGTCATCATTCAATGTGCTTATTAGATATATCGGCCATATGTAATCAGTCCACTAGGATTAGATTTGATGATGAAAAGTAGAATTTATCTTTGTACTTGTGTTTGAAAAATTTACATAGTAAAGAGTAGAAACAATCTAGGTATCTTCATCTTCAATCTTCAGAGTTTAGGTTTCATCTTTGAATAAACTTTACTCTTAGATCTCAGTGTTATATCAAGACATTGTCATTTTGCAACTATGATGAAATATAGATATTTGTGGCAAACTTTGTCAGTGAGATCCGAACGTACTCAACGTTAGACAATTTCATGAAAAGTATGGCTCTAGAAATGATGATGTCTAGTGATGAATGATGTATTTTGACTGAATCAATATGCAATCATATTTGAGTATTAGAGATTATGCATAATTGATATATACCATGCATTTTTAGATATTCTAAAAATCAACATCGTCAAATAGATTAAATAGTTTGACATGATCATCATCATTGAGGATTTCATTGTGCAATTTGAGCAAGATAATAACAACACTTACCTCAATGCCAAATCATCTGATCATGTCATGGTGACTCAACATTTTGTAAAATGTCTGCCGACATGCGGATTGACATTTGTAAATTATCAATCCGTAACTTCATCAAGTGTTGTATTGATTTTGTGATCATATTCAAAATCATCTATGTGTGCTTGACATTTATAGTATCGAAATGAATCAGACAAAGTTCATAAAGTCTATAAAGATAAACCCCAACATCTGAGTATGTTAGAGAGCTTCAACATGAAATTATTCATCAACAACACAAATGATTCAATACAATTAAAGAAATTGGACGACACTAATTGATTTAGAAATTTGTGTCAATTTTTAGATTTTTTTACCCTATTTTTTATGCGTGCTATGTGAAAATCTATTTTTTGCAGAACAATGGACAAACTAATTTGACATCGTTATCTTTAGCCAATATCATGCATTTCAAGAAGTGTTATTTGCTATTTCAGCTTTGTGTATACTATTTTTTGTGATACTATCAATAATTATTGTTACATGACATTGATATTATTGAGATGTATCAGAAATAATTCTTCAAGTCAAAGAGAAATCTCATCATGCTCATAATAGGTTCGATTCTCCAACATCTTGCTGATCAAGTTGGATAGTCACAACAACATTTGGTTTTTAATACAATCAAAGAAATTAAAGAACACCATTCAATTTGAAAATTTATTTCAATTTTGTGGAATTCTTAACACATTCTTACATCTGTGATATGTGAAGATGCGATTTTTGGTTGTCAAGTATGAGCAGATCAACTAATAAATTTGACATCTTTATTTTAGCCGATATTATGCATTTCAAACCGTACAATTTGTTCTTTCATCTTGGTGGAGGTTTACTTTTTTTATCATATTGAAAATCATCCGTAATTCCATGACATTGATATTATTGAGAAGTAGTATTAGAAGGAGCTCGTGAAGTCTATAAAGACAAAGGAGTGTCACGATATGAATATATTTTTGAACATTATGGAATCCTTGATATTTGAGACACAACTTTTTGCAGTAACCATTGATTAACAGATTTGACATCGTTATCTGTAGCCGATATCATGCATTTCAAGAATTACAATTTGCTCTCTGGCTTTGCTGATATGCATTTGTGCTGAAGTATAAGCAAGAGTACAAGCAAATAGATTTGACATTGTCATCTTTAGCCGCAATCATGCATTCCACGCGGTTTGATCTCTCGACTTATTTAGTTATTGTAATCTTCTACACACAACAATAAACCATGTTGTAGGAGAATGACATCTATTTTAAAACACGATGCAATGACATTTCTTAAGTAAAAATGGAATGAGGCATGGGAGATAACCGTTATCTCCCATAGTACCGCCCTTTTGATACTAACTCTTGATCAAATCCTCTTGCGTAGGAATCTGATGAATACTGTGAATCAGAGTTCACCGACTCTTTTCAAGCTCTTGCGTTCATTCGAAAATTAAGAGAACAGAGCAAACGAAGTCATGAAACTCTTCGCTCGAACGGAACGAAGAAGAGAAGAAAATGAAACTCGTTCATTCTTCACTGACTTGGCTGCGATGATCGCATTTGGTTAAAGCATAATACTGAAAGTAAGTCTCGAGAATAATTTAGTCGCGACGCCGAAGGTAATGAAGAAAAGTCATGGACCCGGAAGTAATAAAAGAAAAGAAAATCGCTGACGCTTGCACAACTCTTATCGAGTTTCGTTTCGTTTTATGTTTTTCGAGGGGGCACATCCGAATGAAAGCTGAGCTGCACAGGCTGCGGAGGGTCAGCGGGAATGCTGCCGGAACTTTTAAATACACCGAAAGCATATTTCATGACAAATAATGCATCGACGCAAAAACTCCCGGCGCTTCTCGAAGACTCTTGCGCAAATCCAGTCGAGTTTAGAAAGTTCTACGGAACGGCGGATTACTCAAAGCTCCAACGTTATGGGCGGAAGACGTTCCATGCAGACGAGCCGGTGCCGCCCCAGCCACGACCTGGTGAGCTTCTCTCGCTCGTGCGCGTCATGCAGAATTGCATTTCGCGTTGTCCTCTGGCTGTGGCACGACAGAGTGTTCTTGCAATTCGTTTGCACTCCTCCGTCGGCTCCGACTGCGAATTTTTCTCTCTCCAGATACCCGTCACGGCTATCAGTTGAAGCAGATCCGTCTAATTTCGCGTGACTGAATTGAATCTTTGGATTGCAGTGGAACTCGCGGTTGCCGTTTTAATTTTCGCGCTAGTCGCGAGATTGCTGGCAGGTGTCTGATATCTAGTGATTGCAGGTAATAAATTTCAAGCGTGCCGTGTCGCAGGAACTTGACTCTATTCAATTTTCCGAGATAGTTCCAGCATGTGCATATGCCGATCGCTTTTCATCTGGTCTGTACTCTAATTCCTGTTTGTTTTTGCAATCATCCCTGAACGTCTTCAACCTTCTCTTGGATCTTCCGAAAGCGAGGAATTGTCGGTGGGGGAATCCACCTGTTACACTGCTGTGTTGGAGGTGAGCCAGACACAGTTCTCTCCCACTCTCTGTTCTAGTCCTGTGGTGTTACTATCCCCGGATTCTTTCCTCAATTTCCAGGTAATTGACGACAAATTCTGGTAGTAATCAGTCTCATTAGTGGATCCTTCGGTAGTTGACACGGAAATTCCGATGACAACCTGCGACTCTGCGGAATTGTTTCAGCTTGATTTACAATCACCAACTCTAGATCTTGAGGTAGAAGGAAAGACCCCGGTCTTGTTGGAATTGTTCCCACGAGGTCACCTCGCGTTTTCGGAGATTTCTGAAATTATTACTTGATTGCTTCGACCCAAGCAACCGTCCTCATTGCTGGTTGTGCATCCCTTCAACTTTTGATGTGCTGGAGCTTACCCGTCACCTTCTTCCCACAGCGATCTGGTACATCGTTATCGGTGTTTGTAAGCATTTGAAAGGATTTTGATGCTGTTGTTGACATAAAGGCTGCTGGCATTGTTCACAGCTTACACAGAGCTAGAATCTTCTTACCGGAAGGCTTTCAAGGGAAATGGAGTTCCAGTTTCGAAGCTACAGTTTTCCATCCGCGTCTTACGACAGACCGGAGAAGCCAAGACTGCACGGAGTGACAGAGATCCGAGGCCCTTACTCCACCGTCATGGGTCCTCGATATTTAGAGGTACTCGAGAATTCAACAAAGTTACGAGAGCCACTTCGGCATAGAGAGTTGTATCAATGAGAAGGAAGCGTGCATCTCTTCTTCTTACTTAAATTGTTGAGAGATTGTTGAATTTTTGGAGCAGACTGATAAGTTTTGAGGACAAGGGTTGGGTTGGCAGGATTCTTCGAGCGCGATCTGCAGAGTAATCTTTCAAGGATTGAGCGCTGGGGACACTGGAACTGTATTCCTGCAACGTGCTCGCCCGAAGTAATAGATGCTTACTCCACTTCTTTTTCCGTTGTTCATGTCATGTATGTGATCGTGTGACCAGGATATTTTGGAATCCAAAGGGCATTTTGTCGACGGTTTGAAGTTTTCTGGAGGCTCGTTCAGTTTGATGCCGAGAGAGAGAGTGAAGCGCATTACTGCTCTAGCTCACAAACACGGAATATATGTAAACACTGGTGGTTGGGCGGAGCACATGCTTAAGAAGGGCCTCCCTTTCTTCAACGAGTATGTGCAAGTAGGTCTTGACATTTTTGTTGGGTTACATACTCTACTTGAATCTTGAACTGAACCTCGAACGGAGTAAATGTATAACCCGTTGTTAGTTTCCACTAGAATCCAAGTAAAAAGGCCTCTTGTGTTAGAACTGAGGCCTTGTGTATAAAGGCGCGATGGAAAAATCACGAGTAGGGATTCTGTGTATGCGCATCGGAAGATTATTGAAGCTGAGTCCACTTGTGATTGTATTCCGGCATCTTCATCATGAAATACATGTTTCTTGCAGCCGTCTTCTGAACGTCGTCTACTCTCTAGTTTCTAAGCTCCTCCTTCACTCTAGCGAAGTTAATCTACTGCACATGCGCTTCTCCATTCTTGTCCTTATTACCATGTCTACGGTTGTTGCCGTACGGATGATTGATTACTTTTGTGTTTCCTTGCAGGAATGCAAAGACCTTGGATTTGACATTGTTGAATTGGGTACAGACTTCCTTGATCTGCAAGAAGCGGATTTGTTGCGACTCATACGTCTTGTGAAGAATGCTGGTCTTCAAGCAAAGCCCGAATTGGTCTTTGAAGCTGGTCGTATCTCCAGTGGGCAATCTGGAAAAGGGAAGACTGCACAAGGTGGCATCTGACATTTTGATCATAAACTCTGTTCCTTCCATTGATGGTGGTCTGAAATATTTGAAGATGTCTTTCTAAACTGACTGGATGGAGTAGACTCAAGAAAGACCTAGTAGTTTTCTCCCTCATCTTGTGCTGATGTTAAGACTAACCGCTCCTCCTCCTTCTCCAGTGCAAGAAGAATCCCAAGAATTTGATATCTTGATCAAGAGGGCTGAACGGTGTTTGGAAGCTGGAGCCGATATGATCATGGTCGAGGCACAAGGACTTACTCAAAATGTGCCATCGTGGCGAACCGATGTCTTGGCTGAGATTATCGGTCGGCTTGGGCTAGAAAGGACCATGTTCGAGGCTCATGAGCCGAAAGTCTTTCAATGGTTTTTGAACAACTACGGGCCGAAGGTAAGGCCCTCTTGTATGCTCTCGTTCTACTGTGAGTTCTTTCTGTGAGTAACTTCGTGTGAATGATTCTCTTGAAGAAGGAAAATCTTGATCATTGACTGTGGTGCGCACTTGACTGCCCACATATTTTGTGACGGAGTGGAGAAAAAATGGTCTTTAAACAACACCTTCGAGAAGCTTCAATTGCTGAATGCTGTGTGGTTCGGTGGACTTCTGAAAGTGATAGGAGAAAAATCCTCAGTTTCACAACGATTTTTGGACTCGTGGTTTTGCACAGGTAAATTTGTTCGTGAATCACTGCGACGTTGTGGAGCTAGAGAACCTGCGTTCCGGGACCCGTGGGCATTCTCGCTGGATCTCTTTGTGAAATGTTCTTAATGCTGATTATCAGCAAGGTGAGCTATATGTGAAGGAAACGGGTTTTACCGTCGCCATAAAATCCTTGCCCTCACCAAGTTGCGCTGCTTGACTACCATGTGAACAACAATTGGATGGCCGATCTTCATTTGGCGATCAGAAGTTGGAGATGGACCTAATTCATATGCAAGAAGAAATCATGGGATGGCTATCTTATTTGCATTCTCACTGTATAAAATGTCTTAAAATTGCAATGGAGAAGTGGAGATAGAATTCGTATCTTGCTTTCACAAAGACATGGCGAAAAGCACAAATTTATGAGAGGAGAGGGCTAAATAGCTGTCTTCCGGCGTGATGTGTAATAAAAATGTAAGATGTATTAATTATACTCCCTCTCAATCAGTTTGTGTGTACTAGTGTGCACGTGAATGTCTAGTAGTGTGAATCACACTCATCAAACGAGGCAATGACCTCGAGCGAGCTCGAACACTTCACAAGATTCAAAGTAGAGTTTATTGCGTTAATATCCTTCGAATAGAGGTCCAGCACTAAGACACATGCCGAAATACATCTACTTTGAATTTCAAATTCTGATCGTTGTTTTCAAAGTATATCCAGTGTCTAAGAGCATGTGTAGAGTATAGTTTAGAATGTATTAGAGTGTAGAGCATGATTGTTAACTTTGTTGTACTCTAAGTGTACTCGAGGGGTAGAATGTCCGCGATGTCAAGTTTGCAAACATGAAACATGTAGAAACCTAAACTTGAGATCTAGTATGTGGACGTAAATGACGTGAATGTAAATTTAATTTCAAGAAATAGTGACGTACGTTCTTACCTTTTGATTTTAACTTCAGAAACTTGAAAGTGAGATATCATCTTCGTATATCTCTTGACTTGCAATGAAAGTTTCTTAGTATGTAGACGTATTTGATCTCTTGTACACTTGAGGTTTTCTTTCGCAGCAACAACCGGCCAAAGTTGATATTTGTGATATAAAGCAAAAATATAAAGAGATAACCGTCATCCAATTTCAAAAGTCCAAAGACGTATCAATCATTGACTTCAAATCCAAAGTAAAAACCAAGTGAAATTACAACGCTTCGAAGCGATTGAAATTTTTTATTGACATGTCGTCAAAATCATGTTATATATCATGCATCATGTCACATGATTCACATTTTTACTTCCACGTGATTCATGTGGAAGTAAGAGAAAGCTCAAATGTCCGAATGAACGACCAAAAACCAATTAATAACATGAGATGTGGATTTGATATCTAAAATGATTTTATTTATAATACTTACTTTACTTAGTTAGCTAGCTACTTAATGAAGAAATTAATTTTAAGACTTAAAATTGATGAAGTAAAATTACCGAGGATTTTAATCAAAATATCTTTACATTTTGTAAACCTACATTTACAATAAAACCATTTATTGGTAGCGTAAAAATTACTACAAGGTTGTGCTTGGGTGAATTTAAATTTCATCAAAAACCAGGTGAAACCAGAAAATCTCCAGCCTCTAAATTGGTAGTGTTACTTGCACGTCTCTCCACACTACAAGGGTTTGTATTGACGGACTGCACACAAGGACAAAAACTAGATTCCTCTAGTTACACGACACGACCAACAGCAGCAATATTTGCCCACCATCATCCGGAACCAGATGACCTCCACTGTGCCGGCTCCAAAAACCCTGGTGCATCATTCGCCAGTAGCGGGCCTTAGATACGACCACGGGGAGTATACGTAGAGACGGTGTACAGTATCAGTGTACTAGTAGCAGTACTTTTCGAAGGCAGTGTAGGCCAAGCAGGCCAAAGCGCCCGCAAAGGAGCCGGACAAACGGCAGGAAGCGTCCAAGCAAGCCATTGCCGGTGGGTAGAGTAGGGCAGCCGGTCAGGCAAAGTGGTGGTGTGAGGATAAAGGAAAGGCTAACAACCGATCGGGGATCTCCAAATCCACGGTGCACATCATCCCACCTCCACTCGTCCTGCCCTGTACGTCAACCATTGCGCTGTAAGCCTTGTCAGCCTTTGGAGCTGGAAGCACAGCTCCGCTAAAGTAAGTCGGTGCTTAGTTCTCTCTCCCCGAACGAAGCTTGTCAGCCTTTGGAGCCGGAAGCACAGCTCCGCTAAAATTAGTCAGTGCTAGTTCTCTCTCCCTGAACGAAGCTAGTCAGCCTTCTGAGCTGGAAGCACAGCTCCGCTAAAGTAAGTCGGTGCTTAGTTCTCTTCCCCCGACGAAGCTTGTCAGCCTTTGTAACCGGAAGCACAGCACCGCTAAAAGTTAGTCGGTGCTAGTTCTCTTTCCGCGAACGAAGCTTGTAATCCTTTGGAACCGGAAGCACAGCTCCGCTAAAATTAGTCGGTGCTTAGTTCTCTCTCCCCGAACGAATCTTGTCAGACTTTGGAGCCGGAAGCACAGCTCCGCTAAAGTTAGTCGGTGCTAAGTTCTCTCTCCCCGAACAAAGCTTGTCAGCATTTGGAGCCGGAAGCAAATCTCCGCTAAATTTAGTCAGTGCTAGTTCTCTCTCCCTGAAAGAAGCTTGTCAGCCTTTGGAGCCGGAAGCACAGCTCCGCTAGAGTGAGTCGGTGCTTAGTTTTCTTTTCCCGAACGAAGCTTGTAAGCTGGCGAGTTTCTCGATACTTTAGTTGGAGCCATGGAAAGCGGTGAAAGCGGGAGGTGCCGCTAAAAGCCGACCGATCATTGATCTTCGTGGATGAGTTCTTGGTGCATTGATTGATGCTGCTCCGCTGCCCGCTTGCGTCAGCGCTCTGGGTACTCGCAGTGGGCGAGCGGTATATTGCTGAACCTTTGAGGTAGCAGACCTTCATTGTGCTCCATTACCAGCTCGGGCCTCGAATTCTGCTTTGTTCAATTTCCTTCGGTTTGGTCGCGGTTCAGCCATGGCACGAGTGTATTATCTTTTGTGCGTTGCCCTCACGGTAGGTTTTGCCCTCTCTGTCTCTGCGTTTGACGATGGAATCGAGATGGTTGTCGGAGAAAATGGGTTACAGGATGATCTTCTCAACGGGGAAGGAATCATGGCACCTGCAAAGGCTTTGCTTCAAGCAGCAAGTCGTTTCGAGTTGTTCAAGCAGAAATTTAAGAAGACTTACTCGGGACCCGAAGAGCATGCTTACCGATTTGGGGTTTTCAAGGATAACCTTTTGAGGGCCCTGGAGCACCAGGCCCTGGACCCAAGCGCGAAACATGGTATCACTAAATTTTCTGACCTCACCGAAGAAGAGTTCGAGTCACGGTACCTCGGAATGAAGAAGCCTGCATCTTTGAAGAAAGGAGTTCAGGGTCTTCCTCTGCCTGTAGACGATCTGCCCGAAAGCTTCGACTGGCGCGACCAAGGTGCCGTCACAGAAGTCAAGGATCAGGTGACACCCCTGTTGGAGCTTTCAAGTCTGTTGAAGAATTTACCTTCTCTCGTCGATGTTAGTTTGACTGTATAGCGCACTGTTGCCCTTCAAATGGTATCGCTGAATATACGTAGTTATTTGGCACGATCAAAGAGTTTTGTGGGATTCGTAACATATGGCGTACCATTAAGTCCTGTCACTTGAGGAAACAGCAGACAATTTGTCAATCTGATAATTGTGAGGTGATGTGATACATGGCTTTTCAGTTTTAGTCATTAGAGCTTTTCTAGTCGCCGCAATTGTCATGCAGAGCACTCTGTGGCTCGATATTGTTTGAAGTCAGTCGTAAGCATATCAAGAGGCTTCATTGTGTGTATTGTTATCAGGTCATTCCTTCTTTGGTTTTCTGTCAACAGATTTATGAGATCTTGCATTGTTCATAAGTCAGCTCCCTATGTAGTGCTGTTCTCTTGATAATTGTGGGTGGGTTATCCGGTCTATGTATCATGTGTTGAAATTGATGCCTACAGCAGATAATTCGCCTCTTTATGTGGGTTTTGCGTTACATGATGCAAGGGAACCGGATTTCCGGAATCTGAATGAAACTTATAAGGATTCGTTAAGTTTGTTCACTTGGAGGCCGACTTTTTCTTTTTTTTTGAATATCGGTCGAAATGTTGCCAAGTGATGCGCTTTCATCTGGATTCTGATGAAATGACCTTGCCTATGACTTTGCAGGGGGCGTGTGGTTCTTGCTGGGCTTTCAGTACCACCGGAGCAGTAGAAGGTTCTAACTTTATTGCCACAGGCAAGCTGATCAGTTTGAGTGAGCAGCAACTCGTCGACTGCGATCATGTGGTAGGGCCTTCCCGCCTTACTTTTTCTATTTTGACAGACTTTCATACTTTGAAGTATTGGTATGTTTATACATTTGTTTAAGAATGTTGTAAATATTATACAAGTTTGTCTGGTCTTACGTCCAAGTGTAAACGTTGTTAGTTTTTTTTTTACTCCAGAAGTCGTGGGAATTACCTTTTTGCTTGCTGGATGTTTTGAATTGTGTTTCATCCGAATATTTTGGAATTGTGGCATACGTGTATGTCTTCGTTTACTTAATCTTGATTAATCTCCCGTGCATATTTTACGTTTTGTCCGTGAAGCCTCTACATATTCTAACTTACGCTTTACTAATCTTGAATGTCTCCTCGACTTGTAGTGTGACCCTGTAGACCCTCTATCTTGCGACTCTGGTTGCAATGGTGGACTGATGACAAACGCGTATGAGTATATCAAGCAAGCCGGAGGCTTGGAGAAAGAAGCAGATTACAAGTATACCGCCCAGGATGGCAAGTGCAAATTTGACTCTAACAAGCTCGTGGTGAAGGTTGCTAATTTCACCGAGGTTCCAGTCGATGAAGCGCAGATGGGCGCATATCTCGTGAATTACGGTCCTCTTGCCGGTAAGCAACCTAAATTTCTGTGTCCATATCACAATCAGGAATATGATATGTACTCTTGGTGGGTCTACAGAATAGTGAATTTTTGGTCTTCCCAATTAGAGAGTCCAGGTCTAGACTGCTGTTTGTGGATCTACTAATTTTTGGTTTGTCGTGCTTTTCCTGATAATAACCTTTCATGTGATTCAGCACTATGTGCATAATGAAGTATTTGCTATCTCAAATAACAGGATTGTTTGCTTTAACACCACAATGCTTGGAACGAGTGATTCTCTTTGCTAGATGTTACTAGGAAGCGTGCTTGTACGCCAATTATGCAATTAGCACAAAGTATTTGCCACAGTGGTGACTTTACTGAGAATCACTTTCTGATTCTTACACTAAACGCCTTTCTGTTGCTGTTTCCAGTGGGCATCAATGCCGCATTCATGCAAACCTACATTGGAGGAGTATCGTGCCCTCTTATATGCAGCAAGAGGAACATCGATCACGGAGTATTGATTGTTGGTTATGGAGCCCGTGGCTTCACACCAGTGCGTCTGAGCTACAAGCCGTATTGGATCATCAAGAATTCCTGGGGAAAATCCTGGGGAGAGGAAGGTTATTACAAACTTTGCCGCGGTTATGGCGAGTGCGGTATTAGCACCATGGTTTCCTCCGTGGCAGCTATCGCCGTGATCGATACATAAGTGGCTCAAACCCTGCGTTCACACCTCGTTGCCTCAGCGCTGTAGGAACGAAGAAAGTTGTCAATATACTTCGCAGATACAGGGGATAGCAGTAAACGTTGGAGGTACAAGGTAATGGTTACACAATCTTGTAAATAGCGGTAGTATATTATCTGCTTCCCGATGAGCAGTTCAGCAAAACATCTGGATGTAAAAGTTTAAATCTGTATTTTTTCTGTTGACTTTGGTAAAATGTGTGAATATGTTTGTGAATTGTTATAGCCTTGAAAGGCTCGTCTCATTGGAATGTGGATAGCGACTCAAAGTTAAGGAAATGTAAAGGGATCTTGAAGGGAAATATTATTGAAGCGAAATTGGAATTGTCTGAAGTGTTTATACTGGATTGTAGCATATTCTCGACTGAACACTTTGCTTCATGCCAATCCATTTTTACTGCCTTGGTCAGACAATGATGCGATCAGTGCAATCTTCTTGCCTGATCGTTTCTCTCCCACGCTCTGTGCAGCGTCTCTTCTCTCATCAGGTCCTACCTTCATATAAGGTTTTCATGGGGTTCTTTCCTGAATAAATAGGCTTATCAAACCCCGTAGGAGACACATCAAGTGATACTTGCATGGAGCCTTATGACTTTGCCTAGGTGTTTTGTCTTATCACACAATTCAGCATCTTGCGAGGAAGTACGTCGTTTGAACATGAAGTAAATTTCTCTTGCAAATGTCCAATCGGACCATTTAAATCTAAACACATGTGAACTGAATAGATTGGTCAAACGAAGAAGTGTTATGAGAAAAAGTGTCTTGGAGAAGAGGATTATAAACCAACCGTCTGTTGTCACCAAACCGTTGAAAATGACTTGTCAAATGTGAAGTAACAAACTAGTCATGATACAAGTATGGTCAATATTTTGTGAATACTAGAGGATTGTGTTGAGAGCATCGGCCGATGAAACCGTGTGTAAACACTGTAAACGGCAGAAAATTTAAGCAAAAAGTTGGCCGAATTAGCAGAAATATAAGCAGCATCCACACCGTCGGATTTATGACTGGAATTAATACTATTTCCGATGTCTGACGTCAAGCCATCGTGAAACGAGGTCTACAATTGAAGTACATTTACAACCACCATCATATCTTTTCATCTCAAATTTACCGAAAGACTTTAAACTTCATCTTATCGCACCAGTCTAATAGCCGAGTATCGATGTGAGTAGATCATTCTCAAGCCAAACCGATCGACAAGCCTAATAAACGATACGTACAAAGCATGGAAAGCTCTAATGTCGTCACCAGCGAGTTAGCAAACACGTCACCCCGGGCGAAAACCTAGCGAGAAATTTTGCACTGAAAATTAAACACTCGTCCCAGACTGTTGAAGTAAGCTCTACCTCGGGTACCGGCAACATTTCTGGCACGTCGGCCTGAATGAAAATTCGGTGTCCACACGATTTTAAATTTCTTTTACTAGAATAGTTATATTTTGACAAGGCGATAAACTGAAATGAAAGATAAAAAGATTAATAAAATATAGAAACCACAAATTGAAGATGACTGGATAATATTTTCAATCTATCTATATTTTGATGCACTCAACGATATATTTTCTACTCAATTTTGCATATTGAATATAATATGATTTTCAACATTTGGGTATAGGTCACGTCTATACTAGAATAATTTTGAAAATTAAAAGTCCGATTAAACTAATTATTATGAAGATTACAATTGTTTTAACCGAAAATTAAAATTGTTCTACCCAGTCAAGTCTACTTTCTCTTACCCACCGCATGTCCGACCGGCTGTGACCGGGAATGCCAGTCAGGCTGATACTCGTATTGTCGAGTCGGTAACTCCAAAACTGTGGCGGTGTAGAGTGAGTTAGGGTTCGAGGACGCGGGGTCTTGTTAGTAGTGTACGTTGCATAATGGTGTGGAGTCCATGAAATGTGTCCGCCCTTCAGCAGACTACAACTCGCAACGAAATTCGCCTAATTTTATCGATGGCCCAATTTCGACATTTGGACGAGGGCATGTCCGCCTGAGCGTCTCCGAGTCCGGACTGGTTGAATTGGCAGCCTGCGCGGGGGATCCCGAGGCAATCAAAAGTCGCCCTCGCATCGAGATTATTGACGTGGTTACGGTAGGAACCCTATCTATCAGGTGGCATCTCTTCAGGGTGATGCTTGTCTACACTCCTTTGGACAAAATGTTTATTACTGAAGGGAGGTGCATCACCCCTAGCTAACCTTCCAGCGTTACTTCAGCTCGGGCACATTATGCGCCACCTCATCCAATGTCGGAGAACTGCAACGCGAATCCAGTTCGACACCCTCAGAGTCCTGAACCTAGATCACAACGGAGTGACGAAATTTGACATTCCCACACGTGAAGCACCACAGAAACCAGAGTCCACGCCGTTGCAAATCCAGGTCCACGCTAGTCTCGGTTCAGCATTCAAGCTTTGAATCAGACATTGAAGAAAATCGCACAAGAACACTCCAGTTGAGTGCAGCTAGCGACGTACACGGCGGCTGCAAGCTCTGTACCGTGACGAGTTTTCTGTTCTCTCTGCTCGACTTGGATAGATCCGAGGTTACAGGCCCGGCTATCACCCACCTTCGGAACCGGCAGCTGCCATAGACGGTTCGAGCTAAACGAGGTTCTTTCTTCGAGAAAACGAAAGTACAATGAGTTTACAGCTTTAGGCGGACGACGAGGAGGTCGCAGGCAGTAGATTTCTACGTGTCCACGTCTCATTGACGCTGCGTGCTCATCCAGTGGACGCGGTGCTGTATCTCGCGGATGCGCAGTCGGCGACCATTCATCGTCTTTAAAGTGTGGAGAAATGAGGAGCCCCCGGCAAAAGCAAGACTGTATGGAATCAAAGCATTCTTGCGTTATCCTTGCCTCCCTCGGAGCGAAGCCACCCTGCAGTAAGTCAGTCAGCCACCACAGTGTCCCTTCGAGCTCCATGTTCAAAGACCTGATGCTCGATAGCCCCAGGACTATTGAAGACGGTGTGGATCAGCGCCTTGCAGCTTTCAGAAATCAATCCACATCATTTTCCCATATTGTACATTTACCGGCTGCACGATCGACCCTTCTGTCTACTTTCCGCCAGTGATTCGAGATCGTGTGAGATCGAGAAGCCAAGATCGGGTGAAATCAATCGAAACCTCTACATCAAGCACATTACCACATGCAATCGTACTCCGTATACTGTACAAGATAACTACTTGTCATTTACTCTTCGTCTTTTCCCCCTAACAGTACCTTCCGCATCGACGAAACTACGTATTCTGTAAAGAGGTGTGAAGAATCCGACGATCCGAGATCTAATACTCCTCGGGAGTAGGAGAATCGATAGCATGATCTAGACAGAAGTCCCAGTCGTCGGGGGACTTTGCGTGTTGTGTGGATCTATGGCCACTTCGGGGCAAATGCTTTGCACCGAGAATTATGATGATGACGATGACGATCGATGATATTTTTCGGGTTCGAGGGCCAGACTATTACTAAGGTTCTTGCACATATGAGTCCAATTCTCTGTGTGCACTTCTCATGCTTGAAAGACGAAGGTGCCTTTCCACATCACTCACACTTGGACCATCTTCTTTCTCAATAAAGCATTATCGAAGAAGTTCTGGTTTGTCCAACTTCTGCATTTGTTCGTCACATTCAGAAAGTTTGGCTTCAAGTAAATAATTCCTCATCATTCTAGAAAGACCTCCACAAGGCGACGTTGTACTCTGTACTTGTTCCCCATGATAAACCAACTATATTATGATTCCATCACGGGAGACTTTGAACAGACACCAGTGTAAAGCGTTAAATATCTAGATTCTTAGTAGTCATAGTCATAGAAAAGTGATGTTCTTACAGACTGCAAGGACGTTGATCATCGCTCCAGATTAAATTTTCCTATATTATATTCTTCAAGAATTAGTTGTTGTGTGAATAAATAATCATAACCATCCCTTCTAGAAACAAACCAGTCTAAACGATAGCTGGCTCAATGACTAGATTCCACATTGCATTTAATTTAGATGTTGTAACTTATATCTCAATATAGCTCATAGATAGTTTGAAATTTTTATGTCTATAAAATATGTCCCAAACTACTCCAATTTTGGAATGCAAATTATGCTACATTGAAATGAGTACACTCTCATCGTCCAACTGTTCATGTTGATAATATATATATATATACAATATTATCATCACTTGTAGTGTTGCTTCAGTTTTGAAATCTTGTCGACATTCTCCTTGGAAGCGATATCATCAACTTTTTGTGACATGTAATTGAGCATCAATTCAAATTGATATGCAAGCATAAGGATAATATCCTTATGCTTGCATGTCATTTTGAATTGATGCTAGTTGATTATAGCATCATCTAATGAGCAGTCGCTTCGATCAATGTCTTGATAAGGATGATAATTGATAGTGCTATAAGATAATTGGCTCCAGTAATCAATGAGGTTGAAGTATATTATCCTGTATATATTTTGAACTCAAAAAACATAAAAGTATGCGTTGGAAATTCAAACGAGAAAAAATGCAAACAAGCAGCCGACATGAAGAATAGGTGTTTCACTACCTCCTACTAAGTCCACCGGAACACAACAGGCTATACTGGCAAAAACGCTGATTTGTGTCACATGGTTTAAAACCAAATCACAAATCATAAAGTGAAGAAACCGATAGGTGAGAGAAACGGACATCACCCAACTAGTTTCAATCAAAACTTGATTTTAACTCCCGATATTGTGATCCCGATTTGAAATTTGTTCTTGGATTGCTATAACCTCAAATATGTATTAGACAATAAAAAAAACCAATTAATTTCAAGTAATTAATATATAGCTTGATCAAGTAATGAAAACATTTTATACAGAAAATGAAATGACAAAAAAATATCTTGGGGATAATTCTAAACATTACAATTAACTGCAATCTTTATTTTCAAGAAATATGATGCTTAGAACATAAGATATGCAAGATTATTTTTCACAACCATTTAAAACTCATTTCAAAAAGTATCATCTTGGATGGTAAAATAATGATTTTCATTATTACAAATACACATATTTTTTAGTTAGAATTATAATTTGTATATTCAAATTTGATGTTCCAACATTTTTCATCAAAAAATTTGAATATTAAGATAATTATATTCAATTATATTGAATTAAAAAATTTTAAAATATCAATAAAGTAGATTAAAATAAGACACAAATTGATGATAATCATTTCAAAATTTTCGATAATTTACATATATAATTTTAATTTATATAAAAAAATTACCTTCATGTTTTATAATCAATACATAAAATTTAGATTGCAAAATAAGTTTATTCTGCAATCAGGGTAATCAGTAATATAAGAATTCGAAATGTTGAAGCTAAGATTAAAATTTTTTAAACAAAAGCGAGATATTTTAAAAATATTTCTAAATAATTTAAACAATAAAATGAAATAAAATGGTTTCAATGTAGCATATATCTTAAACTTCAAAAACTATTGAAAAATGTAAAGCATGTTTCTAATGTGTTAAAAATCTGATTTTGATTTAATGTGAAAATAGACTTCAAATTATTGTGCAGTATAGAAATTTTTTCAAGCAAAATGTATAACATTGTGTTGTAATAATACTTAAAAATATATAATTGAAAAGAAAAAAAATTTAATTGAAATAAAAAACACAAATTTACTTCTTAAAAATATTCTCAATTTTAATATAATAATAAGTAAGCTTTTGTGTCATAAAAATTAAAAATTAATTAAATATTTATAAAAACTCAATTAACTTGGAAATAAGGCTCAAACAACAGTATTTTTCCCAAATAGTAGCGTAATTTGGTTTTAATATTTAATGCACTTAATTCATCAATTATTAAATAATTTCATTATATTTGAGCATAATAATTTAAAATATTTTAATGATAAAAATAATTAAAATATGATAAATCTTATTAATCAATATAATACCATCAGTGAAAATATTAAATATAAAAATATGCATATCTTCAATTTTAATTTCAATGTTTTTAATTCCAAAATTTTAAATTAATTTAGTGATAATTTTACGTACATTGAATTTTGAAATAAATAATATTTCATAGAAAACTATAAAATATTATTCCTTGAAATAATATAAAAGATTATCATTAAATATTTATGATGCATGTTATAATCTGTTAGTTTTTGTTGAGTATCACTGTCAAACAATAAAACATAAGAATACATGAGTGATAGTAAATAATCAATGTTATATCATACGCGAAATTGAACTTGTGTCACCATTAAGGGCTAGGTTCATTGAAAGTGAAGTCACAACATTATATAATGAACTAATCAATTTATAGAATAGTTGGTGTTTATATTCCTAGATCAAACGGTAACTTGCTAAATACAAAAATTAACTTGAAACATGAGTTAACTTCAACAATCTCCACTTTAATTCATGTTTGGGGAATAGTGATCTATATAATTTATTTTATTTATTATTTATTTATTATAATTTATTATATAATAATATAGTGACCCTATATAATTACTCCGCAGTAAATTTTAGGAAGAAAGCTAACAAAAAAGCTACTCTTTATAACTAGAGTTAATTAGAACTAGTATGATAGTCATAATAGAATAGAGTAATAATATAAAGAGTTAATTGAAAAAACAGCTAGCAAACTCTACCTCTGCTCTCTATGCAAAATCTGCAGAGTAGAACAATGTCAACTCAAACTCTACAAAGTAATAATTTTGATCAATGCATCAACTAGTTTGAGTTTACCGTCTATCTTGACTAACTCAATCATTTTATAAAAAATTGCTTTTTTGAGAAAATGATACTTGAAGATAAAGTTATTTGTTTGGAGTCCAAAGTGTGCATATGCTACATAAATTACAAACAAACTTAAACAAAATATAGAGTAATTGTTCATTTGGGGTTAAAAATTGGTTTTAATATGCACTCAAAACAACAAAATCAAATAGGAGATTGAGATTGTACTTTTAATAATCCAGCTCCGTTTCCATGATCCATTAGAGTAGCTAAAGATGATACGATTGATTTAAAGTATTTTCATAATATAAAAGTAAAAATGGCAAGAAAAACATATGTACTTCATCAAAACAACGAATACTCTATGCAGATTTGTAGTCATGTAGATCCTCACTTTATTTTTTTACATCAACAATATAAATATGCATATATGTCTCAAAGTTTTATGTTGATTATTTAATTTAAATGAAAGTTGGATATGATGATTCATTGTTATCAAAATAAATCCCTTGCTTTGGATGGCACATTTGCAACAATCAAGTATGATGTAAATTTTGATTTAGTTTTATCTTGAATGATTGACATTTTTGACACTAGGTAATATATTTATTTTTATTCTTATTAAAGCACATACACACATCGCACATTTTATTTTTTGATTTATAATTAATGATATGTTGTGTTTTGTGTTTTGTTATCATGCATTTTTCATTTTGTATTGTGATTGCATTTGATCGTCATCAAATGACATTAATCTTTGCTTGAAGCATTCAATAACAAAAAATTTGATTAGAATAAAATTTTTGCAAAAAGTAAAAATTGTCTAAAAGATCAAGTTATTTTATTATTGATTGTGTTTTTCAAGACATTGCTGCATTGATATTGAATTTTTAAAAATTTCAATCATTATCTATATATGTCATAATTGAATGTAATTTTCAAAATTTGTCAAATTCTTTTAATGATTTTATGTGCAAATGTATTTATAAGTCAAATGCTAACATCTTTATCATATATTGATGATTGTTATGCTTAAAGTACTATATTGATGTTATTATCAACAAATTCACAAAATAATGGATAATGGAAGAACAATTTGATAAAAAAAATTAAAAAATCAAACCCCAATATTGCAAATGGCCTATGCTCTTGACGAAATGATGTATGCTAATAGTGAAATGTTGATGTGAAAACGTTACATGCAATTTCAAACTAGTTGTTTAGAAAAATTTTAGTTTCTAAGTTAACTCAAACAATAATAGATAGCAAGAATAGATTTTTTATTTTTATTATATATATATATTTTCTTATTTTTTTAGTTTCATAAGATTTTTTCACTGTTCAAAATTACAATATAATATATTTAACATATGTTTTGAATGTTGTTTTCCATGAACAAATGGCTATAGAGGTGTCAAAATTTTGATCACGCAATATATATTACATATGGGACGATAGAAAACTTAACATTTAATAATGAAAAATATGATTCAAAGATTAATAGATGATTTGAAAGCTTGTCGTTTGGACAAATTATTGGACATGATTTGTTTTCTTTAAAAAATTCGTATAAATTAATGGAATTGGTGAAAGATTAGAAAAAGTATAAAGTTGCTATCTTCAATGTATGGAGGGCAAAAAATGAAATGATGTACAATAAGGTCGGAATTTGTGTTATTTTGCATTTGTATTTATTGATTTTGCCAAATCTTAATCTTGATGTATAAATCAATATGATTATATGTAAATTGTTTTTCAAATCATACAAAATGATATATTATTTTTATTGTATTCAAATGGAGATTCAAGAGACCTCAAACTCAAATTTTGCTCATACAATAGTCAAAACTCAAGAACTAAGTACATCATTCAAGATAATAATTCTATGTTACTTTCATGTGATTGTTCATGTGCTATGAAAGTAAACATGTTCAAACATCAATGTAAGGTTTTGATGTGCAAAGCACATCAAGAAGTATTTATTATTCAATAATATGAAACATGGTTCAGTTTGCAATATGAAGCATTGATATAAACTAACTATCCAGACTTGTTGAAAAGATAAGTTTCAGTTGTTACTGGAGTATGGTGCAAAACAAAATGTAGCACAAGACGGTGAAAAT